TTCAGCCCCTCACCCCCACAGCCCCCTCTCTGCTCCCACGCCCCAACCCCCTCATCCCTGGTTCATTTGGGGCACTTGACAATTTTCTTCAGCTGGGTCGCCAGCCAAGGCGATTTGAAAACTGCTGTCCTGGTGCGGCGCTCGCTCCCCGTGCTGCGGGGGCAGCAGTCACAGCGCCCGGGAAAGAGAGCGTCTTCCCTTGCCGCCCCTCACCCCCACAGCCCCCTCTCTGCTCCCACGCCCCAACCCCCTCATCCCTGGTTCATTTGGGGCACTTGACAATTTTCTTCAGCTGGGTCGCCAGCCAAGGCGATTTGAAAACTGCTGTCCTGGTGCGGCGCTCGCTCCCCGTGCTGCGGGGGCAGCAGTCACAGCGCCCGGGAAAGAGAGCGTCTTCCCTTGCCGAGCATCGCTCTTGGCGCCCGGCGCAGGCACCTTCCTCTTGCTTCCAGCCTCCGTTTGCTTGTGCTCAGGGCCATCCCCTTTGCTCTTGTGCCCACGCGCTTCAAAAGCTCTTCACATGCCAGGACACTCCCCTTACAGAGGCCCCCTGTCGCCGTGCGAGGCGAGGCAGGCCTCTCGGAACCCGCCAGCCCCCTCTGGCGGGACAGGAGAGCCCCGTGCTGGTGAACAAAGGGTTAAAGGGCAGCTCTGGGCCCAGCAGGCCCCACCCAGCTGCACCCACTGGGCATGCCCTTGCCATTCCTCCGGTTTTCAAAGTCATCCTCGTCTTCCGGTACAGTCGTCTCATCCCCTCGGCGCTGACGATGCCTCCTGACTTCTTATCACTGGCACATTTCATCCGCCCCCGCCTGCTCTGTGCTCCAACATGACAATATTGCAGGGATCCGTTCCCAGATGATTCTTGAGGAACTCAAGTTACCCTAGACAGCCAGTGAAACACAACTTCCCCCTGCAACGTGGCAACAGCAGCACTTCTTCCATTGGCTTGCACACCGTCTGGGGAGCAGGGAGGGATTAAGCTCTGGTGAATCTAAACTCCAGTAGCGCCTTCAGCGCTGAGAGGGACCTTGGAGAATAGTTAAAAACGATGAAGAATCTGGGCTGTGCAGGTATATTAACTGCACTGAGCACGTGTAGTGAGGTTAGCAGTGACCTAGAGCAGTGCTCCCCAACCTTTTGGGGCTGCCGGGTGCCCGGGGACAGGGCCTTTCAAGCACCGGGCACCTGGGGGCGGGACCACTAACGTCCGTTAGTTCGAACTAACTTTCTAGTGTAGACATACCCTATGAGAGCACAAGTAAACACAAACAGCACACTGAGAGAATTGTTAACCTTCCCCCAGTCCCATAAGAGTAACCTGATAAATAAGCATACCCCAGAGTATTGGGCAAATCTGGTAACACGCGCCCAGGGGCGGGGCCGCACACGCGCCGCATGCCCAGTGCCGGCGCCACCCATGTGCCGCACTCCTGGGGCCAGCGCCACTCCTGTGCCGCACGCCCAGGGGTGGAGCTGCCTGTACGCCATGCGCCCGGGGCTGACACCGCTCCTGTGCTGCACGCCCAGGGGCAGGGCCACCCATACACCGCATGCCTGGGGCCGGAACAGCCCATGCGCTGCATGCCTGGGGCCAGCGCTGCTCCTGTGCCGCGTGCCCAGGAGCTGGCAGTGCCCATGTGCCGCGCACCTGGGGCCAGCGCTGCTCCTGTGCCGTGTGCCCTGGGGCGGGGAAGCCCATACGCTGCACTCCCGGGGCCGGCACAGCCCATGCACCGCGCACCCAGGGGTGGGGCTGCCCAAGTGCTGCACACCCAGGAGCGGGGCCAGCCCTGATCAGTCGGCGGGCGCACAGGAATGGCCCGGCGGGCGCCATGGTGCCTGCAGGCACTGCGTTGGGGACCACTGACCTAGAGGTTATAAAAATCCCCCCCAGGTCTATAAAGGGTAGGAGCTATGTGGACACAGCAGTGCTGAGAAGAGAAAAGTTCTGCACTGGCAGGGCATAGGCTGGATGATCTAAACCCAAATGCTTTTTCCATCTGTGGTTCTTAGACCTCCCAACCCCGTTGACTTTCCCAGGGGGCTGCTGGGTGTCTGACCCTTCTACAAGTCTGCTGGAAAATCCCCTTCCGATTGGTTTCCCTTTTCCACTTCCCCACCTCCTGGGGGAGGACAGATAATCAGAGCTGCCGTGTGCACCAAGGAGAAATTTCCACCCGCTGCAGCTGTTGCCAGTGCGTCCCTCCCTTTCCCCTCGGTGCTCTGGAGGTCAGTTTTATTTATTCTTTAATAAAACCTTTCACCAGCTTGAGTGAAATATGCTGGAGGCCTCATGCTGCCAGTATTCAAACACCCTTGGCATTTCTAAACGGTATACTTAACAATTCCTTGCAGCCAGCATGGGGAAATTCTATAGTCGACCTTGCCTTAACCGATAAAAAGGAACAGATCACATAACTACATATTAATATAGCTTATGTACAAATGACCATGACTTGATCACATTTATAATATGCTAGGAGAATAAAGTCAAAACACATTTTATTTCTGTATATAAAATATACCTACCTGATGATTTAACAGGGCCAGTTTCACAAAGCTGAAAATAATTAAGGGTACGTCTAGACTACATGCCTCTGTCGCCAGAGGCATGTAGATTAGGCTACCAGACATAGGAAAATGAAGCGTCGATTTAAATATTTAAATAATCGCCTCTTCATTTAAATTTACATGGCTGCCGATCGGCTGTTTGTCGGCTCAGCGTGGCAGCCATGTAATTAAATGAAGCGGCAATTATTTAAATCGACGCTTCATTTTCCTATGTCTGGTAGCCTAATCTACATGCCTCTGGCGACAGAGGCATGTAGTCTAGATGTACCCTAAGTTGAATCAGCTGGGAGGAAGAATGTAATCAGAAAAATATGATTGATAATTGGGAATCATTTAGGAACACCCAAGTGGCTCGATCCCACAATCAAGGAAGAAGGCTGAATTGGTTAAAAAAATTTAGTTTCAAGAGCAAGTAAAGGCAGCTGGGAAAATTAAAAAAAACCCATCAATGCAAGAAAAGGGATGTTGATAGTAATGAATATAAATCAGAAATCAGGCATTGTAGAAAATTGATAAGGGAAATAAAGGGACACAAGGAGCCATCTAAGGCCAGCAGATTTTCAGACAGTGAGAAAGAGGCTTTTAATTATTTCCGAAACAAAAAGAGTCCTGACAGTGTTAGAAAGTAGCAATAGTAATGCCAAAAAGGCAGAGGTGTTCAATAAAATATTTCAGTTCCGTATTTTGGTAAGAAAAAGATTATATAGTCTTTTT